GTAAATTTACAAAATTAACTTATCAGCTTTTGACTTTTTTTCCATATTCTCTTCAGACTTTGCAAATAAAAAACGGATGCAAAATATGTAACACTGAAAAACTGATTACAAACTTGGTAGAAATATTACATATAAAAAGACCTTCAGCTGAAAACACATTCAGTGATCCTGATTTATTTGAGCCACCCCCTTCCTCCATTCATAAGGGAATTCCTTTGGCCTAATGTACCAAAAAATAGGTTTAATATCATAACAAGAAAGTCTAATAAGAAAATTGATACTGTAATTGCTAAATGTAATAGAAAAAATCTTTAAAATCAAACTATAGCTTGTTTGCCCCTATTTACTATCTGATCCTTAAATAGCTAACAAAAGGAGGGCATTGAACAATAGAGACTACCATGGTACAAAAACTGTACACCCTTCCATCAAAATGTATCATGGACTAATGTAGACTAATACCCAAAATAATTTTCAATCTCATACAACTAATTCATTATGTATATATACAAATTCTTACATTTTGTAAACAAATTTTGAAGTGATACTCATAGACCTAGTTCACATTGGCACTGCAATAACATTAAGATGTTACTATACGAGTTTTAACCACTTGCCACCAGGTGGCATGTACGTACATGCCATGGCTGTTGTGGACAGAAAAATGGATGGCATCATATGACCATTCCCACACCACTGGCTAATCAGACGGAGTTTATTTTTCTCCAATAGTATCGGCTTCATATGCATGGTAAAGCTTTTAGGCAATAGCACCTAAAGTGAAGGTAACCCTTCAAATTTATAACATAGCAAAATAAAAGCTTTTAGTGCCAAATGTCACAAACTACCAAATGAGCCAGGCGCAAATGGGAATCTGCCAATGAGGGCCAACAATCCCATTATCATGTCCATTTGCCAAACCTTTACTTGGTGGTATTGGGTTATAATGAACTGCCATGATATTTTTTAGAAATGTCATATATGAACTTCCTGAAGACAACCAAAATGTTAAAAAACTATAAGACAGAAATAATTAAACAGGTATAATTCATATATACATTAGTTACAAGTCAGGCTACCTATAACATTCAAGGACAATTAGGACACCCAAGTTGAGTGTTAAAATTTATATAAAATTTATATATGAAAAAAAGGTATAACTTCTTTGGTTGAAGCAAGCCGTCGTTTCAACGTGCGTGGTTATGAACTTACCTTGTCTGTACTATCACATCCAAAAGCTTAGGCTCAAAACCTACATTCTCTCTCCAACCATAAAAGTACTCACCTCTTCTGCCTGCTTGACCTTGTCTAAGGTGCCCTCTAGCTGTTTCACCTGCAGCTGGAGGTTAGCCTTGTCTGCCGTTAGCTGACGCAAGTCTTGATCCTTCTCTGACAACCTTTTATTCCAGGTCACTTCCTCTGACTCAACAGATGCCTCTAATGATTTGAGTAAATTCTCCTGAAAACATTAACAAAAATAATAAATAAAAGAAATCTACAGTTTCACTAAACTAAACTAATGTCATCACATTCTAGTTGGGGGTTATCTACTTTTTCAATCTTCAATAATGCATCAGCAATCATAAAAAACAGTTATTCACACTACCAAAGATACAGCATCAATATAATTCAATTATCACTTACAGTATCTGCAAGAACAGTCTGATAATGGACAACTTTTTCATTGACTGCTTGGACTTCTTGTTCCAGCTCACTAACTCTCTTGCTGTCACTGGCAGATGACGATCTCTTTAGATCTTCAACCTGAAAACAAGATTCAAAAGCAAATTAATTTGTGAAAATAGCAACTTTAATGTTACATGTACAATCTGCACCCTTGGATTCTAGTATTCCATCAACGTACCTGAGACTTAAGCTGAGCATTTTCCTTGGCAAGTTTCTCAACCTGAGACTTGAGTTCGGGGTCTTCAACCTTTACTTCAACTACCTTTTCTACAACCTGTAAAAGAGTAAAATAACCAATTAAATCCTTATCACGATTGTGTAAAATATGATTTTAACAAAAATCTTTCAAATACCTTAAAATCCATCTTCTCTAAAAGCCAGATAAAGGCACACCTACAATGCATTCAACAAGTTTTTGCCTATTGATTTGTAAAGAGACTTTTCCTGTGTCGTATTGTGTGTTGAAAGCTTGCTTTTTTACTAAATTACATGTAAACAATTAAAATCAGTTGAAACTAATTAATAAAAAATATTTCCTACTACAGTGATTGCAATGTAGCAGCAGGTTGGTGAATACAACTTGAGTCAATAACACTGAGAACCTTGTGTGTTTATATCCATGGAATTCAACAACAAAACATTGCTTAACTTGACATGGAATGCTTATTGCTATACAAGAGCATTAACTTACCTTTTCAACTTCAACAACCTTTTCAACAACTTTCTCCACAACCTCTGGCTGTGGTGTCTGAGATGACTGAGTAATTACTTGTAATGCCTTTGTCTCAAACTCACTCAGGAATGCACCTTGGTCCTAGAATTAGAGACAAATAATTGTAAGAATTTTCCCTAAAATATCAATATGATACCTGTACCTGAGTATTAAAAATCCAACTGCATAATAGCAGTAACAAAAACATGAAATCAATTTATTGGCTATGATTAAAAAAAAAAAAAAAAATCTACATCCTTGACTAAAATTCTCCAATGAAGAGAAAGTTTATAGTCATAAATAATCAACTGTTAAATTTGCAAAATCTATCAATTTGGTAAAGAACACTTGTTCTATAGAGACAAAACCACATGTATCTATCTAACTTGTCTGTTAACTAAAAAATCCATTCCATGCTAGACAAAATTCCTGCAGTGTGACAAAAATGCCCAATGGGAGCACTACAGTTCACAATTCTAAAGTTTAATTTGACAGGCCTTGAAGAAGTCAAGACTATCAATCATTCCCAAAGTAATTACTTTATTAGCAACCTTTTACCACCTGAATCTTGCACAATCTTACACATTTCCCTATTGCATCTAATTTGAGATTATTCTTTTAAATCATAACTGTTAATAATGCTGCTAGCTATAGTCTATGTCACTGGACCCTTTCCATCTGGTTTGCGCAAATGTAAATTCTTTTGTAACAAAGATGTGATAAAAGCAATTAGTAACAGTAAACAGACATACCAACAATGTAAACTACACTCCTCTGCACTAGATTTCAGTAAAACATAAGAAAATCACAATCAACCATATCACACAATAACCAAATGTATAACTTGTGGAATGTAAAACCTTCAATAACCGAATATCCATTTGATTTTCCTTGCAATACAAATGAATAGGAATGAGAATGCATTTTAATTAACCTATAATCCTCCCTTCTAATTAACAACTTTGACACCATAACACCTGTAAACCTTGGCAAGACCTTTCACACTAAACCACCAACCAAGATTCCAATCTATTTGCAAACTGAAGAGTAAGCTCTGGAAAAAAAAGGTTCAAAATAAATTAACAAGAACTAACTTTTGAAAGTTAGTTTTCCAAATCCATCTATAAGAATATTTAATATCAAGGGATGAGAGGAATGAGGGAGGGAGGGAGGGAGGAGAAGATGAGGGGGAGGGAGGAGGAGGGAGGGGAGGGAGGGAGGGAGGGAGGAGAAATGAGGGGGAGGGAGGAGGGAGGAGGGAGGAGAGGGAGGGAGGGAGGAGGGAGGGGAGGAGAGGAGGAGGGAGGGAGGGGGGAGGAGGGAGGGGAGGGAGGAGAAATGAGGGGGAGGGGGAGGGAGGGAGGGAGGAGAAATGAGGGGGAGGAGGAGAAGATGAGGGGAGGGAGGGGGAGGAGGGAGGGGAGGGAGGAGAAATGAGGGGGAGGGAGGGAGGAGAAATGAGGGGGGGAGGAGAAATGAGGGAGGGAGGGAGGGGAGGGGGGAGGGGGAGGAATGAGGGGAGGGAGGAGGAGGGGAGGGAGGAGGAGAAATGAGGGGGAGGGAGGAGAAATGAGGGGGAGGGAGGAGAAATGAGGGGGAGGGAGGAGAAATGAGGGGGAGGGGAGGGAGGGGGAGGGAGGAGAAATAGGGGGAGGGAGGAGAAATGAGGGGAGGGAGGAGGAGGGGGAGGGAGGAGAAATGGGGGAGGGAGGAGGGAGGGGGGAGGAGGAGAAATGAGGGGGAGGAGGAGAATGAGGGGAGGGAGGAGAAATGAGGGGGAGGAGAAATGAGGGGGGGGGAGGGAGGGGAGGAGGGAGGGAGGAGGAGAGAAATAGGGAGGGAGGGAGGGGGAGGAGAAAAGGGAGGGGAGGGAGGGAGGGAGGGAGGGAGGGAGGAGAAATGGAGGGGGAGGGAGGGAGGAGGGAGGGAGGGGGAGGGAGGAGGGAGGGAGGGAGGGAGGAGGAGGAGGGGGAGGGAGGAAGGGAGGGGGAGGGAGAGAGGGAGGGGGGAGGGAGGAGGGAGGGAGGGAGGGAGGAGGGAGGGAGGCGAGAGGGAGGGAGGGAGGGAGGGAGGGAGGGAGGGAGGAGAAATGAGGGAGGGAGGGAGGAGGAGGGAGGGAGGGAGGGAGAGAAATGAGGGGGGAGGAGAGGAATGGAGGGAAGGGGAGGGGAGGAGAAATGAGGGGGAGGAGGGGAGGGAGGGAGGGAGGGAAGGAGGGAGGAGATGGAGGATGAGGGGAGGGAGGGAGGGGAGAGGAGGGAGGGAGGGAGAGGGAGGAGAAATGAGGGGAGGAGAGGGGAAGGGAGGAGGGAGGAGGGAGGGAGGGAGAAATGAGGGGGAGGGAGGGAGGGGAGGGAGGAGGAGGGAGGGAGGGGAGGGAGAGAGAAATGAGGGCGGAGGGAGGGAGGGAGGGAGGGAGGGAGGGGAGGGAGGGAGAGAGGGAGGGAGGGAGGAGGAGAAAATGGAGGGGAGGGAGGGGAGGGAGCGGAGGGAGGGAGGGAGGAGGAGGGAGGGAGGAGAGGGAGGAGGGAAGAGGAAGGGAAGAGGGAGGAGGAGGAGAGGAGAATGAGGAGGGAGGGAGGGAAGGGAGGGAGGGAGGGAGGGAGGGGAGGGAGGAGAAATGAGGGGGAGGGAGGGAGGAGGAGGAGGGAGGGAGGGAGGAGAAATGAGGGGGAGGAGGGAGGGAGAGGGAGGGAGGGAGGGAGGGAGGGAGGAGGAGAAATGAGGGGAAGGAGGGGAGGGAGGGGAGGGAGGGAGGGAGGGAGGAGGAGGGAGGGGGGAGGGAAGGGGAGGGGAGGAGAAATGAGAGGGGAAGGGAAGGGGAGGGAGGGAGGGAGGGAGGGAGGAGGAGGGAGGGAGGAGGGAGGGAGGAGGGAGGAGAAAATGAGGGGGAGGGAGGGAGGGAGGGATGGGAGGGGGGAAGGAGGAGAAATGAGGGAAGGGGGAAGGGGAGGAGGAGAAATGAGGGGGAGGGAGGAGAAATGAGGGGGGAAGGGAGGAGAAAAGAGGGAGGGAGGAGAAATGAGGGGGAAGGGAGGAGGAAATGAGGGGAGGGAGGAGAAATGAAGGGGGAGGGAGGGGAGGGAGGAGAAATGAGGGGGAGGGCGGGGAGAAATGGAGGGGGAGGGAGGAGAAATGAGGGGGAGGGAGGAAAGAGAATGAGGGAGGAGGGGAGGGGAGGAGGAGAAGATGAGGGGAGGGAGGAGAAATGAGGGGGAGGGAGGAGGAAGAGGGGGGAGGGGAGTGAAAGGGAGGAGGAGTGAGAAGGAGGGAAGGGAGTGAGAAGGGAGGGAGGGAGTGAAGAGAGGAGGGAGAGGGAGTGAGAAGGGAGAGGAGAGAAGGGGGGAGGGTGAGGTGAAGGAGTGGGAGGGAGTGAGAAGGGAGGGAGGGAGTGAGGAAGGGAGGGAGGGAGGAGAAGGGAGGGAGGAGTGGTGAGAAGGAGGGAGGGAGTGAGAAGGAGGGAGGGAGTGAGAAGGGAGGAGGGGAGTGAGAAGGGAGGGGAGGAGTAGAAGGAGAGGGAGGGAGTGAGAGAGGGAGGGAGTGGGAAGGGAGTGAGGGAGACGGAGAGGAGGGAGGAGTGAGGAAGGGAGGGAAGGGAGTGAGAAGGGAGGGAGGAGAGTGAGGGGGGAGGGAGGGAGTGAGGGAAGGGAGGGAGAGGGAGTGAGAAGTGGAGGAGGGAGTAGGGAGGGAAGGGAGGGAGGAGTGAGGGAGGGAGGGAGTGAGAAGGAGGGAGGGGTGAGTGAACAGCAAGGGAGGGAAGGGAGGTGAGAAGGAGGGAGGGGAGTGAGGAATGAGGAAGGAGAGGGAAGGGAGGGCAGTGAAGAGGGGAGGGCAGGAGGTGAAAGGAGGGGGGTGTGGAGGGAGGGAGTGAGAAGGAGGGGGAGTGAGGGAAGGGAGGGAGGGGAGTGAGAAGGGAGGGAGGGAGTGAGAAGGGAGGGAGGGAGTGAGGAAGGAGAGGGAGGGAGGTGAGAAATGAGAGTGAAGGGAAGGAGTGAGAAGGGAGGAGATTGAAGAAGGGAAAGGGAAGGGAGTGGAGAGGGAAGGGAGGGAGGTGAAATGAGGAGTGAGTGAGAGGAGGGGAGGGGTGAGAATGGGGAAGAGGGGAGGAGAGTGAGAAGGGAGGGAGGGAAGTGAGGGAGGAGGGAAGGGGAGGATGAGAAGGAGGGAGGGATGAGAAGGGAGGAGTGAGAAGGGGGGAGGTAGTGAGAAGGGGGGAGTGAGAAGGGAGGTGAAATTGGATGAGGGTGAGAAGGGAGGTGAAAATGAGGGTGAGAGTGAGAAGGAGGTGAAATGAGGGGTGAGGAGTGAGAAGGAGGTGAATGTAGGGGGTAGGGAGGAGGAGTGAGAAGGGAGGTGAAATGAGGGGGGGAGGGAGGGAGAGTGAGAAGGGAGGTGAAATGAGGGGGGAGGAGTGAGAAGGGGAGGGTGAAATGAGGGGGGAGGAGTGAGAAGGGAGGTGAATGAGGGGGGAGGGAGTGAGAAGGGAGGTCTGAGAAGGGAAGGTGAAATGAGGGGGGGAGGGGAGGGGAGTGAGAAGGGAGGTGAAATGAGGGGGGGAGGAGGGAGGAGGAGGTAAGGAGGTGAAATGAGGACGGGGGGAGGAGAAGGAGTGAGAAGGAGTGAAATGAGGAGGAGGGAGGAGTGAGAAGGGAGGGAAATGAGGGGTGAGGGTGAGGGGGAGTGATGAAGGTGGAGGTGAAATGAGGGGGGAGGGAGGGAGGAGTGAGAAAGGGAGGGTGAAATGAGGGGAGGGAGGGAGGATGGAAGGGAGGTGAAAATGAGGGGGGGGGAGGAGGAGTGAGAAGGGAGGTGAAATGAGGGGGGGGAGGGAGGGAGAGTGAGAAGGGAATGTGAAATGAGGGGGAGGACAGGGAGGAGTGAGAAGGGAGGTGAAATGAGGGGGGGGAGGAGAGGAGTGAGAAGGAGGTGTGAGAGAGGGAGGAGTGTGAAGGAGGTTGAGCGAGTGGGGGAGGGAGGGAGGAGTGAGAAGGGAGGTGAAATGAAGGATGAAGGGAGGGGGGGGGAGGGAGGAGGAGGGTGAGAAGGACGTGAAATGAGGGGGGGAGGGAGGGGAGGAGTGAGAAGGGAGGTGAAATTGAGGG